TGGGTACTTTGGGGGAGTTGGGTTTGAAGGCAGGGAAGGTGGGGAAGGTGATGGGGGCTGAGTGGGAGGTGAGGAAGAGTCTTGAGGCAGAAATGGCTGGTGGAGGACCCTATGGTTTGGCCTTGAGGTAGCAATGGGCTGAGAAGATAAGAAGAGCAGGAGGAAGATGAAGAAGAAGGAGGGCATTGTGAATTTGGAGATTGAGTTGCAGAGTCTCCAGTGTTGTGTTTGTGTTTCAGTCACTTGTCAGTGAGAGAGAGAGAGAGAGAGAGAGAGAGAGAGAGAAGGAGAGAGGAAGGTGGGGACTGTGTGAAAAGATTGAATCTTTGAGAGTAAAAAAGTGGTGTTTTTTTTTTTTTTTTTTTTTTTTTTTTTTTTTTTTTTTTTTTTTTTTTTTTTTTTTTTTTTTTTTTTTTTTTTTTTTTTTTTTTTTTTTTTGGTTGGTTAGACATAGAAAAATGGGAACTGGTCTGTTGGTGATGCAAGTGAGTGCAGCTGCATCCAGCTGTTTAGTGTTCGCTACTTCCACTAGTGGGAACACTGGACTTCCCTTCCTTGCCTGCCTCGCCAGTGCCACCACTCTCTGGTTTTGTTTTCTTCTGGTTAAAATTGATTGCCTTATTCTATGCTCTATGTTGGTCTTATTCTCTATAGTATAGACTATAAATGCTACAGTTGAATAATCTTGAATAATCTGTCAATAGACTCAACACCACTCTAAACCCATCAAACCCTAATTCCACTAGAAACATAATTGAACTAAAATAGAATGGGAAGGAAATCTCGATGAAAAAAATACCAAACTTTCCTTAAATCTTTATACGCCGAACTTTCCTTAAATGGTTCAATTATGATCAATGTGCTATAAAAGAACCGATGTTTGTTGGCCCAAATGCCCTTAGGTCATGGCAAAGCGATGTGTATTGCTTGACATGTCGACATCATTTGCCCAATTTGCAAGTCATAGCTCGTTAGAGCTTGTGCATTTTGAGACAATTTATGGATAGAATAATGCTGATGATCCTCATATGGTTAATTAGAGTTGCACAAAACATAATTTAATTAAGTTCTACGCAATATTCAATTATAATATAATAATAATTTAGTAGTATTTCTCTTCTCAATGTTAGAAGATGTTCCGAATATGAATGTCTTCTTTCCCTTTAATCAAAATAATTATAAATAATATCAACCACACTATACGCGAAAAATCATATCAACACAAAGTTTTTACAAGGAGTGGAAATTCAGCTAGTATTATTCCTTACCGACAATAGCGCCCGAGATTTCAGGGCGGACGGAGGTCAACAAAAGCGGTGTGTCCGGTCGTCGCCTTTTTGCAGTGCAACCCATGCATGCGCATTATTGCACCACCAATACCATGACACCGATAGCTATTGGAATATTGCACAAAGCGACGTCGTACCATCACACCATCATAGCTTCACCTGAAAGGAAGATTAGATTAGAAAGCCAATTCAAGAAAACAAGAATAATAATTAAATTTTACGTAAAGTTCAATATACTAATTTTCTCTAAAAGCCAAATTCAGTGGATATTAAAGTAAAAAAGAAAGATTAATTAGAAAGCACATTTTATGAATTTCTTTTTTAATTCGAGAAAAAAAGTCAAACTTTAAGTTCAAACACGAATGAGTGTATTTTCCACAATGATTTAACCGAGTCAAGCTGATCGGCAATAAGTATGAGATTTTATATCCTCACGAACCCATCAGATCGCTAGAGTTATAAGTCTTTATTTTCTAATTGACGAATTTTGATTTTGATTTTTTTTGTAAGTAATTTTATTTTATTTTATCTAAAATCGAATGCGACATAGCAAGTGATGTAATTGGTGTAGTTTTTGACACCTTGCGCACGGAATGCGTACAAAAGCAAAACAAAGCACTCTCTCTGAGTAATGTGTAAAGGAACATGGACTGTGCAGCACCGACACTTAGAAATTATTTGCATTATTATTATTATTATTCAACCAAGTACGTGGGGTGGTCAATTTGACAGTGTAGCTACCAAATTTAGAAAACCAATGGAGGAGACTGGCACGTTTGCTGATGAAACAATGGAAACTGGGAAGAGAAGGTACATCTTGGAACCCTAATGCTGATTGCTTTTACGATTATTTAATTATATTTATGGATCTGCATAAGATATATACCATTCGTCTTCCCTCTTTGTTTAATCTGTGTTTATATATTTTATGCCCTTCTTCCTGTCTTGCATTCTTGGCCTAACGTTCTTTAAAAAATAAAATAAAACTCTCCAGAAGAGCAATAATTAATTGTTATTCTATTAGTTATCTGATTGAGTGATTATTAAGTGATGATTTTTTTTTTTTTTTTTAATTTTAGGTGGGAGAGTTGCCACTACCTGTGTTATTGAGCCCATGCCGATATCAAATGTTATAAAAAGTAAAAAACGAAGGCAATATGCCGGGGTGGTGATTGTTAAGCCAATATTACGCTCAAATTTAGTACTCGTTTGGAAGTGATTATGGGCAAAAGTGTCTCCCACATGTTTCTCTATATAAATCACTTTAAGTGATTTGGAGAAGAAATATCTCACATGTGATTCTCTATAAAATCACTTAAAACCACTTATAAGTGATTCTTTATCAAAGTGATTATTAGCTTATATCAAAGTGATTATTAGCTTATCCAAAATCACTCTCGAACGAACCTTTATACTTTGGGTGGCTAACCATTATCAACCGGAGTCAATTTAAATTGATAAAAAAAATATTACTAAATCATTTTAATTTTATAGTGTGTATAGTTGACTAATATTGACTATACAGTGCAAACCCTCTGTTGGTTGTCAAGTCCTTTAGAAATTGATAAATATTGATCCTTCTTGCACTCGCACTCAAGATTCAATTGTGAGGGAGTTTCTCACACATATCAAGGTGTCACGCGAGTTTCAACCTGAGACCATTAATCGTGACACATTGATATGCAGCTTTTTTTAAACCTTTAAAAAAATGTTATTTTTTAAGTGGGTTTATATATGATAAATTAGGTATATATATAGTGGAAAATTATGTCACATAATGGATTCTAAGATCGATCTAACCCCAAAAACAGAAAAAGAACCCAAATTTTTTTCTTCTTCTCAGAAAAGCAAATCATGAAGTGCTCTTATGACATGGGTCTTGACTTTATTTGTACATAGCTCACATGATCAGCTGGAACCTACCAATTTGACCTTGCATACCAATATTACCAAGGGAATGTTGGGTGTTTCCAGTGATGTGCATTTAGAGGCAATCATTTGCTTGTTCTTCAAATACTTGAAGGTAAAGCCACCATGAAACAGACACTATCAAGCTAACCAGAAGCATAAAAATCATTAGTGCCATAAAAGCTTAGAATTACTTTATTCTATAGAGAGAGAGAGGGAGAGATATATATCTGGCATTGAATTTAACCTAATTGATTGATTTGCCCCCCATTGCTATGTATGTGCATGCGTTCCTTATTCTCTAGAAGATGCCATTTTAGATGGCCTGGGCTTCAACGGTAACATTTCTAAAAAAATTTTGAGATCTTTAGACTGGGATTAATTATGAATTTTCAGTGCTTAATGACTTTTTCCCTCTTTTTCCAGTGCTAAAAGGTAAAAAAGCAATTTCCGGAAAAGAAAGAAAGGTAAAAGAGAAAAAGAATAAAAAGAAGAGAAAGTAATTTGTTCTTTAATTAATTAGGGTAATTGGGATTAGAGCGATGCTTAGGGTTTTCAATGAGCAAAAGTGAGATTTCTCTCGACCAAAAAGCTCCAAGGTTTTGGAAATAGAAATGTATATATATTTTTTCTTTTCTTTCTTTCTGTTGTCTTTTGTGGATCATCACTGCTTTTTTATTTTTTTATTTTTTATTAATTATATAATCAATTTATAATAACCCCAAATCAGAAATGATAATTTTGATTAAACAAGTACCTGGATGAAGCATTGTTGGTTGGATTCTCTTGGGCACCACTGTGTTTGTGCGATCATCTGTCATGTGTCATGTGCACACCCTCTCTTGCTTTGTTGCATGCACAAGCTTTTTAAGTTACCTATAAAAAGAAAGATAAAAAGGTAAAAGCCAGGATCGAAATTAAGCAAAAGAAAAGCATTGCTGCAAGTGGAACGTTGTGGTTATTCCTTTTACTATTAATATTAGAGGGTGTGATTTGTTTTTTTTTTTTCCTTAAAAAAAAAAAACAATTAGAAGTTGTGATTTGTAATCTCTGGATGTCATGGTTTAAAAAATAAAAAGAAATTATAATGCTTTTTTATAGGGTTAATTTCAATTTAGCACCATTAACTCTCACCCTTAAGATGTGCTTGTCCACGCACTCTCAATTTTAACAATCGTATATTCTTTTTATTTTTTTTTGCAATTTGGTTTCGGCCGTCAAAATTTCCCTTAATTGTCTACATGGTAGGCATGGGTCTCACCTTTTTGTTGGTTTCGATGTCAGTTGAAGGGTATTTTCGATCATGCCTATATCATATTCTAATGAGAAATTTGTTAGACACCATTTGTTAAAATTAAGAGTGCATGGACAAACATGCCTTAAGGGCGAGAGTTCAGGGTATTAAAGTCAAATTAACCATTTTTTATAAGGTCCTTTAGAGTTTTGAAAAGTTAAGAAGATGGAAGATACCTTATCCCAGGACTAAAACATACGAAGGTCTTTTGATCGTGATTAAAGTGGCAATTAACAAGCTAGATATATATCTATAAGCAATGATGGTTTGCTAATTGAGAGTCTTTTTCCTCCTCCCCCACATTCCAATTATTATATGTGGTAATGATTTTCGGACCCTGAATTTAATTAACAGCATAATTAAGGCATAAGTTAGGATACTAATCATGTTTTGTAATTCCAAAATTAAACTCTCTCTAGCTCATCACATGGAGAAGGCTCTCTACTGTAGAATGTGCTCACAACATGCACCTTTTTAAATTTATTTATTTCCATTATATATAGGGTTTTCATCATTATTTGACCATCACCGCCATAATCTAATCCACAACGATCCATATCAAGTCAAAACACCTTCTTCAATTTTGTTCTATTTATGATGGGCCTTGCCTTCCATGGCTTTCTTTCCCAGTTGGGTTGGTGGAGCTTCCATTTAGTACCCTTCTGTTCCGCCGCAACGGAAGTTGTTGGGAGTTGCTTTCCGAATAATTTTCTTTGTCATTGTGAAGATGCTGACCACGTAATTCCAACCGAAATTGAATGCTTTCCCTCCCTCTCTTTGATAAGAGGCGGATTCACTGTCCCCAAATTGCATGTCCCCTTTATGGTTCTCTTCTAAGTTTTCGAGATCTGTTTTCTCACATAACATATCCTAACACGGTTAACTCATATAAAAATATAAAATAAATAAAAGATCCACTAGTATAGTGATTTGGAGCAATTGCTTCCTTCAGGAATTGAATATTAATACTTAAGCGTAGATATATAGTTGGAAGTTATTAATAATATTCAACAAGTGAATTTGTAAAATCAGACGGGGACGTTATAGAACATACCTATATTTTCCTCACTAACGAAGTCATCGAACCATGACCACCTATCCACAACAATTTCCTCAGGTCGATTGCTGAGGAAGTATGTTCCTGACATCACCTCGTCAGTTTTTGAAAGATCTCCAGCAATGACAAATTGAGAAGAAGGAGCATCATTCCGAAAACTTATTACACCTGCCGCCTCATCATGATCATCTAACCAACAAACCCAGCAGAGTAAACAGTCAGTTCCTGAATCAAAGTTTTTGTTAGTCAAATTGCCAACTATTGTAAAACACAATTAGCGATTAGTTGATTTTTGTTCTATTGTATTGAGCTAACCTAGTCCCAATGAGAGATGCTAATTGTACAAACATTTACTGAGGACACATTATTAACCGCTTCTCTAATAGACGTGGATTTCATATAAATGGACGGGTATCACCGATTAGTAAATGTGGTACAAATTCTATATAGACGTGGATTTCATATAAATGGACAGGTATCACCGATTAGTAAATGTGGTACAAATTCTATATGCTCTGTATTGATTACCATTTCAAAGTAATGAAAAATATCTCACTTCTCATCATCGTCCACCCACATACCTTGGAGCACCATATTTGACTGACTTGTGTCAATTCTATCTTCTCGAGTCCTCATCTTCTTTTCTTGCTCGTACACAACCTGAATGCCGTACTCTTTTACCTGAAACTCAAATCTCGTAAATACTGAAACAGTCACCCGATCGCCACGATCTAAAATTTGACTTCCTAACCTCCAATGGCTTAACCATACCATGTCTTTCCCATCACCTGGAACGCCAAAGAATGAAGGGACATATACCCACTTCAAATTCTTTCCATTTTCATTACTGACTTTAATTGCAGTAACTATTAGGTTAGGTATTGATTCAACATTGGCATTGATGTTCTTGGGAGAATCACTGTTGGACTTTGCATAGACAGAGAAGACGTTCAAGCCCCGAATCTTGAGATTGCCACGTATAGGCACGGTTAAAGATATTGACGACTGTGTACTACTTCTATGGCTGAAAGGGCCTGGAACCTCATTTCCAGGAAGAAATGTGCTGAATATACCATATTCATTCAGTCCCTATGCCAAGGAAATCAAAATATATTAGTGAAGTAAATCTTGTATATATGAAGACAGACATGATCACGTGACACAAGGTTAGCGTGGCATGAGAGAGAGAGAGAGAGAGAGAGAGAGAGACCTGGATGGGATGCATCCTACTCTTCATCCAAGTTTTGAACACATGTAGGGTACTATCCATCATAATGGTTTCCGTGGATTTCAACTTGCCCAGGCTCAAAAGGTTGATCATTTTTTCATCAACTCTTTCAATGTGTTCTAACTTGAAGTAGTGCTCAATCTCAACTAGCTTGTAATTGGATTCATCCAAGATGATCTTTGGTTGGTACGACATTGATTGAAATGCTACTGTTTCCAATGATGTGCAACCATTTACTATCAATTCTGTCACAGGGGGTAGCCCTCGAAGCGACTCGAGTCTCATACACTGTGAAAAAGAGAGTTCCTCGAGTCTCTTAAGGCCTCTGATGCAATCTGGTAGGCTAGAAATAGGATTACAGCTTAGATTTAATCTTTGCAATGAGAACAGGTTACCGAAACCCCGAGGAAAATCATAATCAGAGAGATTGCAGTCACTAAGACTTAATTCCACTAAATTGCATGGTAAATAACTAGTCCAATATGTCTCTGGATTTTTTCTTGGTTGTAATTTGACCTCCACAATCGTAGTGAGTAAGCGATATATTGGAACTCCATCTCCTTGAAGCACTTTCAGAGATTCCATTTTCCCCATCTCTACTGGAAACTCATTAAGACTTGAGCAACCAGAAATGATAAGTGTTTCAAGGAATTTTAGCATAAAAATGTTCTTTGGGAGCTTTCTGATATTTTTGCAATCTTCCATATTCAAATAAACAAGTTTCTTTAGGTCTCCAATGGATTCAACATCAACCAAGTTTGTACAGTCTTTAAGAATAAGGCTTTCTACATTGGGGACATGTGAAAAATCAGGGGTACCGATAAGGCGATGGGAATTACTGAGGTTTAGGATCTTCAATGATGGAAGATACTGTTAAAATGCCAACAAAGAAAAAAGGGAAGGAGTCGATCAAATCCTATAAATGTATAAAATATAAGCTTAAAAACGTTAAAGAAAAGCGAAATATATTGTCTTGATCCCATACCTTTTTTCCCTTCCAGACTTGTCTCAAGTTGCTATAGCACATTTCAAGAACAACCAGGCTTTCCAATGTAAGATCACTGGGTAGATAATCAAATGGAAACTCATTCCAACACAACCATCTTAGTTTTGTTGGAAATTCTTTGTAGCGTCCAATGAGACGTACATGACTAAGTTGGAGTAGTCTTAGTTTGTGCATGCTTGCAAATGCATCGGTTTCCAAAGTTACCTCATTCGAATTTCTTGGAGTGCAATATGCAGGATGCATTCCCATGTTCAGGACAAGGCCTTCAATTGTTTGTGTACCCTAATAAATAAATAAAAGATAAAAGAAACACTTCTGTAAGTTGATTAACAAACACCGCACAGATGCATACAAAAAAAGTATTTCACAAAATATATCTTACATTCTTTTCTTTCAGTACTTTGAAAGAATCTTTATGATTCCACAATCTACTACGTTCCCCGGGCTCCTTTGATTCTAGGTGAACAATACCTCTTCCCATGTCCCGGATCATGTAATGCATATGCACCTTGTTATATTCATCAACTGTTACCAGACATCTATCAATGAGATTTTGAATGCCAACAATTGTGTAGAAGCCACAACTATCTAGTATTCTAACAATCACGTCTTTCTCCATTCCGATGAAGAAACATGCAATATGGAGAAATAAACTTCGATCATGTTCATCTTGTAAAGAGTCGTAGCTTATTCTGAGTTTATTCAATATTTCACCATTTGGAATGGCTTCCAATTTGTTTAATGCACTTTCCCATACAACTGTACTTTTCCCTGATAAAGAAGAACCCAAAATCTTCAAAGCTAATGGAAGTCCTCCGCTAAGGTTTACCACCCTTTCTGAAAGTTCCATGTAATCTTTTTCGGGATGGTCTTGCCCGAATGCATGCCAACTGAAGAGCTCCAGTGACTCATTGCGACTAAAAGTTTCAAGGTTATGCACCTTAATGGCTTGGTGGCTAGCATTTAACAAAGCTGCGTGGCTAGTTGTGATGATGATTTTGCTTCCTGGACAAAACTGGCCTTGCATCTTAAGTACTGCATCTAATTGCTCGACATGATCCACATCATCGAAAACGAGAAGAACCCTTTTAGAGCTAAGAGCATCTTCAATCTTAATTATTCCCTCGCTAATATTCCCTACTTTCACTCTTTTGCCGTTCGAAACATCAGAAAGAAGTTTCTTCTGTATTTGTACCAAACCATTGGTTTGCTTTGAATGTTCTTTGATATTTTCCAGGAAACTGCTTCCCTTATACCTTTTGAAATTTATATTGTAAACGAATTTTGCAAGGGTTGTCTTCCCTATTCCACGCATCCCATAAATGAGAAGTACTCTAACTTTACTCGATCCATCATGTAACCATAAATTAATATCTTGAACTCGAGAATGGATTCCAATCAGGTGTGCGTGTGGGGCAACATTGAATGCAGTGCGACTTAATTTGCCTTCAATCACCTTAACAATTTTCTTGATGAATTTTGACTCGTGCCTAGAAAATTGCAATCATGATGGAAAACAAGGGAAGCATAATTAAATTGTAAAGTCTCATGGAAACAACATGCCAAAATTCTAAGTACCTCAATTAATCTTTTATTTATTTTTATTTTTTTATACAGAGTGGGGTGGGGGAATTGAACTCGGGTACAGAGTGAGGAGCACATCCGCTCTAACAAACTTGGCTAAGTCCATGTCTGCACCTCAATTAATCATTTAAATTTAATAAGTACAAAATCAAACTTTGTAAAAGCAATTTATAAACGTTATGGCAATTTTGTGTCTTTCTCCTCATTATCTATTTTTTTATTTTTTATTACAAGCGATATTCTACTTTAAACTAATCTAATTACAGGAAAGGGAATTCACATTTGGGTGCAGAATGGCAAACACGTCCTCTCTAGCCAATTTTATTAAGTCCATATCTGCCTTCTCATCATTATCTTTGATACCTATATGAACAATATGTTTCAAGTACCAAAATTGCCCATGAGATGTGTTAATTTTTATATATTTATTTGGTACTATTGATAGACTAAATTGGGACAAATAACGTTAGGTGAAAGTCAATGTTCAGGTACCAATTAAAAACAAATCATATAATATTATATTTGGGAACACAAAAAAGAGAGAAAAATAGCACCAAATAGCCTCTATCTATAAATTTTTTACCAATTAATCTAGAAGGAGATCTAACATATCCAAGGTCATATATATAATTCTTTTTATAAAAAAAAAAAAATGCATATATGTACGAGTTGTAATAAAGAAATTAATTAATTACCCATCAGCTTGATTTTGCAAGACCATCCCGGCTAGATCTGCAACTTCAGTAAGTGCAGCCCTCCGTTTCTCCACCTTGACCTTCAAGGACCCATTTTTCACAAAAGCTGTTGCAAGACTTGCCGTCGGCTTCCTCACTTGAGATGGGTCTACGTCGTAGAAGACTGGTAAAACTACATAATCTGACGTCCTTTTGCGTTCGAGGATCATGACAAGTTCGTCAAGGCACCATCGGGAAGACGCGTAGTTTTTTGATAACACAATGACAGAACTTCGCGATTGCTGGATGGCTTTCTGCAGTTCTGGCTTGATATCTTCTCCTCTTTCAAGTTCATCGTCATCTCTAAATGTGCGAAAGCCTGCGTTTACGAAGGCTGTGTAGAGATGATCAGTAAAAGTCTTGCGAGTGTCTTCGCCTCTGAAACTCAAGAACACGTCATAGCTGTGTGGAGGATGAGAGGCGTTTTGACTCTGATCAGCTGATTTAACAAGAGCCATCGAATAACGTGTAAATCTCTGCCCTTGAAATGAAGATGTGCGTACTAATTTTTAGAAAGAACTGATCATAGGTTGGAACCACAAACTTTTATTTTTCCAGTTATATATTCTAGCTAGGAACCAGATAGCGTATAGGAATATCTGGTGGCAATGAGTTCACCGACCATGATGAGTAAAGAATGCAGTTCTTTTATTTATTATTTTCTGACCTAGTGTGAATGGAGTGAATGGTTGCTTGCGACGATACGATTTCAGCCCTTGCGAATTCATAATTTCCAGACATAAGCCCATTGACTTTTGATTCATTGATTAATCCAAGTTTATTATTATTATTTGTCTTTAAATGAGTTGTTGTAGTCAATACTTTCTGGAAAGTCAGCTGAGAGACAAGCGGATTTTCAATCCCACATGCCCTCATAAGTAACATGACATTCATTTTGGCTGGCAACTTCTTGGAAAAATGCCATCAAATTATTTGTTCATTAATTTTCTTCACCAAATGAGACGGAAATTATGTTATTTATTTAAATCCCTCAGCTCACAAACTTTAAATTGTAAAAGGAAACCTAAAATGTTAATTGAAGAATAAAGGACCTACAAGTGTAGTAGTTTAGAGTAATTATTCCATCAGGCAAGGTTTTGGATTCGTGTTCTAGCATCCATGTAGTCAGAGGCGGAGCCACAGTGGGGTCGTCGGGGTCGGACGACCTCTTGGAAGCCATGGAAATAGCCTTGGAGGTCCCTTGGAGCTGCTGGCGCGACCTCTTGGAGCTGCACACCACGTGGTCGACGGAATGCTTGAAAGAAGAAGGAAGAACAGCTGAAGAAGAAGGAGGCGAGGCTGCTCTGGCGCGCGTCGTTTTTTTTTAAAACAACCTGGGCAAAACGACGTCGTTTTGGCCCAGGGAATGTTTTTAAATGACCTGGCCAAACCGACGCGTTTTGGCCCAGGTCTGAACAAAAAAAAGAATGCCCAGCGTATCCCTTCAGCCTCTCCTTCTCCACAGACTCAGAATCGATTCTTTAATTCAAAAAACCCCAAATTTCTTTTGTTTTCTCCTCCTCCAACCCTAAGTTCCAAACTCAATCCCCCCCAAGCCTTCAACTCCATCTCCTCCCTTGCTGCCGCCATTGAGGTGTCTTTCTGCTGCCGTCGTCGTCGCTGTGGTGGTGGTGCCGCCAGCTTCTCTCTTTATATTTGCTAATTGTCATTGTGAAATTTCACAATTCAAGTAAGTTCTAAACCCTATATATGATATATTTAATTTAATTGAAACATAATTCATGTTTATTTTGATTATATTGTGAGTTTTTATTTTCATTATTTTGTATATGTAGAATATATTTAATTTAATTGAAATTCAATTCATATTTATTTGATTATATTGATGGTTTGTTTATATTGTGAGTTTTATTTTGCAAGTTTTTGTATATGTAGAATATATTTAATTTAATTGAAATCCAATTCATGTTTATTTTGATTATGTTGATGGTTAGTTTAAATTGTGAGTTTTATTTTGCAAGTTTTTGTATATGTAGAATATATTTAATTTAATTGAA